GGCAGGACTCAGAAATAAAAATAGCTGCTAGGTTAAAGCTGTTGGCCTTTTATTGGCTTAATTTGTCTTAAATTTTTTATTAAAAAAAAAAACACAAAAAACCTTTCATCCAAAATAAGTCTCACAGATCTATATATACTGCTGTAAAAAGATATTCAACAAATTTTATTAAGTGAAAAAAGCAAGTTGTAGATTGTTATGGTCATGTGATTCCATCTAGGTCCACATACACATTTGCTTTGTTAGAAGACAGAAAAATTCTGAAAGGCAACAGAAGAAAATCATTATCAAAGTCTACCTATGGGGCATGAGACTTGGTTGGGAGGGCAGAGGGAGTTCTGCTTTTCTTTTCCTTTTTTTTTGTTTTTTGGTTTTTTTTGAGACAGAGTCTCGCTTTGTTGCCCAGGCTAGAGTGAGTGCCGTGGCGTCAGCCTGGCTCACAGCAACCTCAATCTCCTGGGCTCAGCGATCCTACTGCCTCAGCCTCCCAAGTAGCTGGGACTACAGGCATGCGCCACCATGCCCGGCTAATTTTTTTGTATATATATTTTTAGTTGGTCAATTAATTTCTTTCTATTTTTGGTAGAGACAGGGTCTTGCTCAGGCTGATTTCGAACTCCTGACCTTGAGCGATCCGCCCGCCTCGGCCTCCCAAAGTGCTAGGATTACAGGCGTGAGCCACCGCGCCCGGCCTTCCTTTTCCTTTTTTTTTTAGCTATGTCCTTTAACTAGCAAAAATACTTTATTTTTTTTTAAGGGGTAGGGTCTTGCTCTATTGCCCAGGCTGGAGTGCAGTGGTGCAATTACAGCTCATTATAACCTCAAACTCCTGGGCTCAAACTCCTGCCTCAGCCTCCTGAGTAGCTGGGACTATAGACCTGTACTATCATGTCTGGCTAATTTAAAAAAAATTTTTTTTTGTAGAGACAGTGTCTCTCTATGTTGCTCAAGCTAGTGTGGAAACAGCCTTGGCCTCCCAAATCACTGGGATTACAGGAGGAATACTTTTCACTTTATACTCTTTATAACATGTGCCAGGCTTTACTTTTATAATGAAAAATTCTTTTAATTTAAAAAGAGATAATAAAAGCCCTTTTGCTTCAGAGTTCATTTTGGAAACTCTTTTCCCAAGGGCTGAGCCAGGTAAATATGAACACCTATTTTTGTTGGTTTCTATAGTGCTTAGTGGCTGGACTGGGTTCCTGAAGCCAGACTGGATAAATTTGAGCTCCACACATTTCCTGGAAGTTTGTGTTTCTCTCCCCAAAAAGGTTGCCCTGGCTATGCTGAGTGTGCAGTGGAAGATCTAAGCCACAGATGACCCCATCAGGAGATACTGGTCTGGCTGGCATCGCTGCCTACATGGCTGCCCCAGGGAATTTCTTGGCTGTGTTGGGGAAGGCTTGAGTGCAGTGCCTCCTTCCCTGGCCAAGGCTCCTGTCCCTACACAAGGAGGCTGCAGGTCAGGTGTCCAACGGGGTGCCTCGCGTACATGAGCCTCCTCTAAGAGTAGCAATCATGACTGTCGTCTCACCAGGGCAAAGAGGAAGGGGACGCAGGGACATGTGGGCTAATGGTGAGGTAAGATCCTCGAGAGCAGTAGGGGCTGTGGATAAAGGTTGAATGTAGGTGCAGGTAAGTTTTCATCTGTTTGTTTAAACCAGCACAGTGCAGTTAAGAAGGTTCTGCCTTTGAGCTCCACCTCCTGCGTCACCGGCTCTATGACCCTAGACAAATCACCTCCTCTCTCTGAGCCTCACTTTCCTCGTCTATCAAATGAGAGATTTTCATTAAATTCTTGTTGAAATCCAATTCAACAGTAACATTTTATGATTTTATGTTAATAAGGGAAAGTAATCAAAGTAGAGAAAACAAGGAATCACTGATCATTGCATGCTGTTTACATTAAGTGACTTTATATCCCTGCACATACAGAAGTTGTCTATGTGGAGGTCCATGAAACCGTCGCTGGGGCTATCTGCCAGTACCCTCCCTTGGGGAACATCACTCCTTCCCAAACGCTCACTCTCCTAACTCTGACCCTACTACCCTACCCTACCTTCTATCCTTTCCACTCCCAGAAGCATTCAAATTAGAGGAAGAAATGATTTTATGGATCCTCACAGTGTGGTGGCCAGAGCCCCAGGCTAGGAGTCAGACTACCAGTCCCCACGCTGGTTTTATCACTGTTCCTTGTGTGACCTTGGACAAGCCACTTCTCCCCTCTGGCCTTAGCCTCATCTATAGAATGAGGGTTGGATGGGTTTCTCTTCAGGAGCCCTGCTCTAATATTCCTATGCCCTACCCTACTAGTGGCTACCAAGGTTGGGAGAGGCCAAAATCTACAAGCCAACATTTCTCCAAACACTCCCTGAAATAGCAGACAACTTCCAGCATCCCAAGCAGGCTCCTATACTCAGCACCAGGATCCAGAAATCAGGAGGAATATGCAGGGCCAGGTGGGGTCCCAGCTGAACACAGGATGCTCCAGCCACGGCACCCTGTTCTGATTCAAAACCTTTCTTACAAGTGTTCTCTTACTCATAAGGTAAAGACAAAGCCTCCAAAGGAATCAGAAACATGTGCTTCAGGGACCAGGCCAGGGCAAGGAGTAGAGTTAAAGGTTATTTGTTAATATATTCTTTTAGTTAAGGAATAACAAAAAGGACAACGTACATATACATGTCTTGAAATGTATATGTACACATCCATGAAACAAACACCCAGATCAAGAAACAGAACACCTGCACCCAGAAATCCCCCTGTGTCCCCTAACAGTCACTAGGCCCCCAAGGATAACTACCGTCCAGACTTCTAGCACCATTGATTCACTTTGCCAGTTTTGAGGGTCACACAAGTGGAATTATACAGTATGGACTCTTTTGAGTCTGACTTCCTTTGCTCAACATCATGTTTTTGAGCTTCACCCATTGTTACATGGAACAGACTGTCATTCATTTTCATTTTTGCATAGTAAGGACTTAATGAAGAGCTAAAATCAACGAGACAGCCCTGAATCTACACTAGGGTGCATACTGATAGCAGAGGAAGGAGGTTCACATGCAGCTCCCCCAGAAATCAGGATGATCCCCCTACTATTCTTCCTGCAGAGTCCTACACCCTTCTGCTGGCGTGCTCCGGAGGTGGGAAGTGGGGCCTTGACTCCCCAAATTTGTGTCAAAGCCTCAGTCCATCATCTGGCAAAGGCCAGAAGCTCTTGTTCTTTGAACACTTACCCTGTGCCCAGCTCTGTGAGGGACACCTTCAGCTCAGCATCTCGTTTCATCCTTACAACCATGAAGTAGATACTGTTATTATTCCTATTTACGGGTAAGAAAACTGAGGGGCTCAGAGAGGTTGAATAAGTTGTCCTAAGGTTGCAGAGCTAGGAAGAGGACCCAAACCCTAACCCCAAAGGCCTCTCCACTTTTCCATGTTGGCAGGGAATTTGCCAACTGGATTTTGTCCAACATCTGTGTTCCCAGTCTCACCTAGCACCATCTGCCCCCAGCCCACTTTGCAAGGCCACAGTAGTTTCCTGCCAGCTCCTCAGGCCCCAGCTCTCTCTCCCCTACCTCGGGGCCTGTCCCGCTATTGCCTTTGCCTGCACCCTTACCCCTCAGTTCTCAAATAACAGTCCCTTCCTCACAGCGTCCTCTCTGACCACCGGTCTGAACTACATCTCCTGTTATGCTCTCGCACAGCATCCTTTTCTCTCCTTCCACAGCCTGTAACACACTTTATGATGATTTATCCTTTTGTGTTCACCTGTCCAGTACCTTCCTCCACCAACATAGCATAAACTGCAAGAGGATAGGAATGTATCTGTTTTGCTTGCCACTGCCTTGGACAGTGTCTGGTATGCAGTAGGTCCTCAGTAATACATTAAGTGAAGAAAAGGAGAGGAAGGGAGAAGGATAGGACTGTCCCTGAAGAAGCTGAGTGGTCACCCAAAAGCAGCTCTAGCTCCAGCTGTTCTATGGCCCCAGGAAAGACCCTTCCCTTCTCTTAGCCTCAGATTTCTCAATTGCCAAATGAGAGGCCTATAGAAAAAGACTTCCAAAGGCCTTTCAGCTCATGTGACCTCTCAACCACAAATCCTAGGATGTCTGCCTGTTCCAAAGTCCCCAGCCCCAAGGCCTCTGCTGCCTCTTACCCCCCGTTTGCCCAGTAAGCACTTTAGGAGAAATGGAGAAGCAAGAGGCATCCCAAGACACCCCAGGCTGTGAGGTACACGGGGCCTCCACGTCCTGTTGCAGGTGGAGAACCAGAAAATGGGAAGTCCCTTCTAGTTCTAATAGTGCATGTCCTTAACATACAGAGTGGGGGAGAGAGAAGACTGAGAAGGAATAATGCATGAATTGCCCAGGTAACTACTTCTACTTCTTCAGACCCCTGCCCCCAGACCTCTCAGTTTCTCTGCCCACCCAGATTCCAGACTCATCCACCTCTGCCCTTGCTAGCATGCATGTGGCTGCCCCACTGCCAGGCTGGAGCTCTGGAAAGGCAGAGACTGTGTCTTGCTCCTCTTAGTACCCACAGCACTTAGTGCAGACCCCTACACAGAGGATGTGGCCAAGGTAAGGCCACCGAATCAAACGCCACTGGCAGGTCATGATCTGTTGCTGAGGATGCACTTTCCTGCTGGCGTCACTAAGGGCAGGAGAAGAACCTGCAGCAAAGAGATTCCAGCTTCCCATTCAGAGGCAGACTCCAGTGGACCAAGCCCCAGCCTCTGGTTCTCTGTCCTCCTCCTACCCCATCACCAGGCCCAGGATGGGGAAGGGTCATCTCCCCAGGGGTCTCTGCAGTCACTTGCTCCCCCAGCCAGCCAGCCAGGACAAACAGTCCCAGAACTTGAAGCTCCTGCCACCTCCCATTCTCCTTGGAATAAGGCTTCTCTGTCTTTGAAGCTCTGTTTTGTCTTTAAAAAACAAAAGAAAGTAAGAGAATTAGCCTGACTCAAGAGTTCTATAAAGGGAAAAGGACTCCTGTTTTACCTGTTGGACACTCTAGACTCCCATGTTTTTGCTCTGCTGGGTGTGTGAAGGGGTGAAGCTGGGTGTCCTGGTGAGCACATGAGTGGGCCAGTGCCACACTCACAGGAGAGAGCACGACAGCTGTGCAGGTACAAATGGGCTGGTCAGAACCTTAGCTATGCAACTTTGGGCAACTTGCTTAGAATCTGGACCACAGTTTCCCCATCTGGAAAATGAGAGCAAAAATCAAGCCTATTTCATGCATTGCTATAAGAATCAAACTTCAGGACTGATATTTGTAATCACCATCTAACTATTAGCAATTGTTAGAAATGGAAGGCAAGAAAAGAGCTTCAGAAAAATCTTAATTTCTCTGCAAATAGTAACCATAGTACTTTCAGAACTCGGAGTTCAGCCTGGGCTGCATTCTGAGTTCAGCAAACCTAAAAAGGCACCAAGTAACTCAGATCCCAGAAAACCACATGACTAGGCTCACGTGGCTGGCTGCTCAATGCGAATCCATTTCCAGTGTGATTACTTCACCTGCCATGCAGGCTCGGAGCTTAAAAAACAAAATCCTGGGAACCATGGAGAATCTCATGTGGGATTCAGAGAAGAAAACCAACAGGTCAGGTTTCTGTCCACAGCCTGGGGGTACTTTGTGAAAAAAGTAATAGATAAAACAAGAATCATTAAGATTTCCCCTGTCAGCCGGATTATACTGAAAACAGAGAACTCAACCAGTCTAGCCCCTTCTACTGGCAAGTCTTTACTGCCAGAGAGATGACTACGCGCAGAGTCACCCATGAGGTGAATAAGCCCCGGGCTCATTTTTAAAGCTTCCCACTGGTCCTGTGGCAAGCCCCGTCTTCCAACACCAGCTGACAAGTGCACCGAGAGCAGCAGGACTTTGGCTCCCTCTGGCATCCCCCCACGTCTCACGCAGCCTCTCACCTCCCCAGCTCTTCTCCTATGTCGTAAAAGTCCTCCACCTTCAGCTGCTTGAACGGCTCCATGTTTGGGCTCCTCATCGAGGCCTGGACCATACGACCCTGAAATGGGAAGAAACCCTAGGTTAGGACAGCCACGCACATTAGCACAAGCCTAAGAATCGGAGGCCTAAAAGCAATCGGCTACGAGGGAGCTAATACTTGAATGACCCACAGCCCTGGCTCCTCAAGTCTTTTCTCACCTGCAGCTGATGATGTACAGTTCTTATTTGATTTATACGAATGGGAAACAGAGAAACAGCCCTCCTCACTCCTCTTCTGAAGAAGTTCAGAGAAACAGATCCATAGTCAGCATCAGCTATTTGTTCTCACTAAATTCAAACCAACTGAAGAAAGAGGCATCTGGGAGGCATCTGGGAGGCATCTGGGAGGCGAGGGGAGGCGAGGGGAGGCGAGGGGAGGCGAGGGGAGGCGAGGGGAGGCGAAGGGAGGCGAAGGGAGGCGAAGGGAGGCGAAGGGAGGCGAAGGGAAGAAGAACTTTAAAGTCAGAAGTCTCAGGCTCAAGTCCAAGTTTTACTTGGATAAGTTATTTAAGCTGCCAGAAACTTAATTAGCTTCCTCATCTGCAAAATGGGGCTAATATTGTAAAAATCAACTCTGAGTCATGAAATTATTTTGTAAACTATAAAATGCTGCAGAAAGGTAAGGGATTATAATGACCTCAGCTCCCTCAGGGGTTTGCCACCCAATTTCAAGTCTGAACTGATCTGTACACTCTTGCTCGTCACCCCAAAGAAAGATGGGCAGGAGTGGCGCGACAAATTCCAACAGGCACCAGGAGTCCTGAGGTGCTCATTTCAGCTTTGCCTGTGACTAGCTCTGCGACCTCATCTCTTGTCAGAAGGGCCTTAGTGTTCTCATCTGTCAAATGGAGCTAACTCTGCCTGCCCAGGACACCTCAGTGAGAGCCAAAGGACAATTCTGGGCCGTGGTGAGTATTCACCACTTCACCAGAAGAGACTGTCTGAATCCTCCCCTAGGAACCCCTGCCCCAAGGGGCTCATCCATTCCTGGGATAGTCACGTGCCACCCTGGTCAGCACCCCAAGAGCAAGGCCCAGGGCACAGTTTGCAAATCACAAAGATAAAACCAGCTACCTGTGGCTGCCTCTTCCAAGAGTCATTAGTGAAGGCCTCTCAGAGCTCACCTTGGTGAGCACTGGCAGCTTTGCTGCTGCGCCAATCACATCCCAGCCACACCCAGGCTCCACGAGCCCCAGACAACTGTTTTCACCAGGCTAGGTGGAGGCACAATTACATAAGGGTGTGTCTCATCGACGCCAAGTGGTTGGAGCTGTTCTAACTCTCTGGGGATGTATACAATCCACCCTCTTTCCTCCACCTCTGCCCCCTGCAAACCAAACTGCCATTCCCAACATGCCACTTGCCTCCCTCCTTTCTGCCAAGGCACAAACATCCCTGAAGACCCCCAGGCAGAGCTGGCCTGGCTCACAGGTCTTACTCTGTCACCTGTCTGTTGGCACGGATGGTCCATCATGCATCCTCCTCCTGGCTTGGTTGTCACTCTGTGGTTGGCCAGGGCCCAGGCAGGCATGGAATACTGAAAAGAGCAGGCTCCAGGAACCCCAGTTCCACACTTGCCTGGGTGTGACCCATCCAGAGAGGCTGGAACACTCTCTGGGCCTCAGTCCCCTCATCTGTAACCTCAGGGGTGATACTATCTGCAATATATCACCTACCTCACACATTCCTGTGAGGATCCATTGTGATAAGGATACAAACTGCTACACAAATAAGAACGGTGACTATTATTGTTATTTGACTCATGCCAAGCCACTCTTTGTGTTTCTGCTTCCCACAGTCATTGAGACAACTAATTTGGTTTCTTTCTGAGAAAAAGATTTTTGGGGTCTTCACAGCAAGTTTGGCTTGATCAGAGTCAGAAGCTGGACCCACCCTTACCCTCACTATCCTGGCAAATCCCCTGAGACTAGCCTAACGGGTGGTGGGACTGCTGTCTACCAGCCTCTTTTTGCTGAAAAATCCTTCCAAATAAACTATTTGGGTCAGATCCTAGGGGATAGGGTTATTGATTTCACACAGCTAGATGCAAGCAGGAAACGTTAAAAAAAGTGTTGACAGAAATCCTGAGAGTTGTCCCTGGAACAGCTAAGATCTCCCATTTGGTGCAAGGCCAGCTCCATTTGCTCTCAGGAGTTGAGCTGGACTCAAAGAAGCCTCTGCTTCCTCAGCAAAATGTGGAGCCTCTGCCTTGGGCTCCATACCCTGGACGGCCAGGGATAGGGGCAGGGGAGCCCCCTAAAGACAAACTAGCCCTGCCAGTTTGGCCTTAACTCACCTTTCCAGCCTTAGCTCCCTCCCCTATGTATCCTATATTACAGCCAAAGTAGAGCGTTCCCATTTCCCCAAAACGTTCACCCCTGCCATGCCCTTTCAATGGGAGGCCCACCTGCCCAGCCCTCTGGCAAAGCTGTCCCTTCCCACGAGGCCTGGCTTAATGTCACCATCTCTATAAGGCTCCATGATCCTTTCCCTCCCGAAAACAAATGAAAAATTTCCCCCTCTCTAAATTCCTCAAGAGTGCTCTTCATACATTCTGGCTCATATCATAATCTATGTCTATGTGTAACCCAGAGGGACAGAGCATAGTCACACAGGCCTGAGTTCAAATCCCAGCCCTACCACTACCTAGCACACCATCCTTAGCTGAGCACAGGATAATTTTTCTGAGTTTCACATTACTTCCATGGAAAATGAACCTAGACAATGCCTAGTGTTGGTGAGTATGTGGAACAACTAGAACCCACCAACAGGAGTATACACTGGGACAATCACTTTGGAAAACTGTTGGGCAGCTTCTATGTACTTATGTAAGAGAAGTACGTGCAGATGTTTTCCAGAATGGTCTATGTTAGAGTATCCACTGCAGTACTGCTTTGGTAATAACTAGAAGTTGGAAACAACCAAATGGTCACCAATAAAAGGATAAATAATTTAAGGTACTATATATCCATATGAAAGAATCATTATACAACAATGAGAATTAAACTACTGCTACCTGCAACAACCTGGATGAATTTCACAAGCATAATCTTGAATGAAAGTAGCCAGACACAGAAGACTGTGTGATTCCATTTAGGCAAAATTAATCCATGTTGCTATAATAGAAGTCATAATAGTGGTTACCCCTGGGTGGGTGGGTGGGGGGTGGACACAGAAGACTTCTGGGTGCTGGCAATGTTGATTTTTTTGTGTGTGTGAGACAGGGTCTCACTCTGTCACCCAGGCTAGAGTGTGGTGGAATCATCATAGTTCACTAAAGCCTCAAACTCCTGGGCTCAGGTGATCCTCCTGCCTCAGCCTCCCAAGTAACTGGGACTACAGGTGTGCACCTCTATACCTGGCCAATTTTTCTATTTTTTTGTAGAGATAGGGTCTCACTATATTGCCCAAGCTGGTCTCAAACTCTGACCTCAAGTAAGCCTCTCACTTAGGCCTCCAAAACTGCTAGGTGTCACTGTGTCCAGCCCTGTTTCTTTTTGAGACAGAGTCTCACACTGTTGCCCAGGTTAGAGTGCCATGGCGTCAGCCTAGCTCACAACAACCTCAAATTCCTGGGCTCAAGTGATCCTCCTGCCTCAGCCACCCAAATAGCTGGGACTAAAGGCATGAACCACCATGCTCAGCTAATTTTTTCTATTTTTACTTGCTCAGTTAATTTTTTTTTTCTATTTTTAGTAGAGATGGGGTCTCACTCTTGCTCAGGCTGGTATTGAACTCCTGAGCTCAAGCAATCCATCTGCCTTGGCCTCCCAGAGTGCTAGGATTATAGGCGTCAGCCACTGCGCCTGGCCAGGCCCTGTTTCTTATTCTGGGTAGGAGTTACATGGATACAATCAAAATTTTACACAATTTTTTTAAAAGAATAAAAAGAAAAACAAAATTTTATACAATTTTTTAAAATGTGACGAATATTAGATGAATATTTAAGACAAATGAAATAGCATGAAAGGTTTTAAATGGTCCTTAGATAGTCCCAACAAATGTGAGTTCCTTTTTTCCCGCCTATTGTCTTGGAGCCCCATGAGGCTCCAATGTCAAATGTGACATTCTCACCTTTGCCCTCTTTGTAGTAGCTAGTATACAGCAGGCACTCCATTAATGTTGGTTGATAGAATTTAGCACCTCAGCCTTTCTCAAGGCCATTACTCAGATGCCTCATCAGGTAAAACAACGGAAAACAGCTTACAGCCCTTTCCTAACACCTCTCCTGAGATGAATTTGCACTTTACCAGTTTATAAACATGAAACTAAAGAGGAGAAACTGAATTATAGACACTCACTAGGGCCCAGAGAAGGACCCAGAGACACAGGCACCTTTTGGATCCTGAAAAGCTGAAACCACATGGCAGATAGGAGGGACACAGCTACAACTTTTGGCCAGAGGCATAGGCCATCAGCTCTAGATGTTCCCATCTTAACACCCACATATCTCCTAATGGAGTCCTTGAAATTCATGCTTCTGCCTACAACCCTAAGACTAGGCAACTCTTTAGGGGGTTAACACAGATTTCCTAGAACCCCACAGAAAGAGACCTGACAGATCACCTATTCAGGGATTTTTAGACTCTTTTTCAGGAGCCACCAGGGTGAGAAAGGGAGGCCAGAGCAGTTCTACATTATCCATACTAGATATTAGGGTTCTAGGTAAGAATTCATTGTGAAATAGAAGGTTAAAAACCACTGCTGTCTGGTCTAACCCACTTGTTTTGCAAAATGAGGAAACCGAGGTGCAGATAGGGGAAGGGACTTGCCAAACATCACACAGCTGGCCCATCCAACTGCTCTTCCCTGGATTTCTGCTGATAGCCATCCCAACCCCTTTAAAGTTGGCACCAGGGTTGGGGAAGTCAGTGGCCTCCTGAAGGAAAACATAGGAGGA